TCCCGCCATCGACTATCAAAGGATAAAAGCATCAGGTCTCCTTCGATCTTCCCAAGGCATTTGACCGAGCTTGGTATGACAAGCTCCGTATGAAGCTTCTCAATTTTGGACTCCTACTGTGTTTCATCATTTGTAATCGAAGCTTACTTGGTGACCGTCTCTAACATCTTTTCTTCAGTCAATTATCTCCCGCGGTACGAGTACTCCTCCGTCCCTTTTACACAATTACTACCACAAAGTTTGCTCTTCGGAAAACATAAATGGTTCCTTCTCTATTTTAATTTCCTTGAGAGACAAGCACTAAGCTTTTCCTGTCAGGTGATTCTATTGAGGCTACGCGTAAGTGACCTAGGGTCTTGACCCTAGAAACCAGCACGCAAAGTGAAAAATTGAAAACCCAGTACACTCAGGTAGACGGAATTTTTAAAGTTTGATATGGGCCTTTGGATTTTAGTAACAAACGATGATAATTAGTTGCGAATCGGTGTGTGGCTTTAGTCGTGCTGTTCTATCACAGTATAGTTCAATAAATTTACTGTTTTATAATTACCTGTAAAAGCACATCTTTGTGTCCATAAACCTAATCTCGTGGCTAATAAAAACATGAAATATCGAAACAAAATAGTGGTCGCGCATCGCGAAAACGAGATTGATGTAATCAAATGAACTTAGAGCTTACGTCGGTGAACGCTCATCGTCATCATCATCAATATCTCCTGAGGAGAACATCAATTGTGGATTAGAATCAGGATTGTAATCGGCTGAAAGTGAAGCTAGCTGGGCTAACGACAACCCGGTATCATTCACTCCGCCTCCCGATCGTTTCTCCGACAATGGCAATTCACGCTGCAGCCGGCTGATCTTGGGCGCCGCTTCAGGAAAGAGGGGAGCACGAGGCCACTCCGTGTTGCATGATTTGGTCGTTATCGGAGGAAGCCTATTTTCGCGTCTTAGACGAGCTTCCACTTCGCGTAAGGTATTCAGCGTCATTGTGGCACCCAAGCGGGACGAGAGCTCGCTCAGGGCACGCAGACTCCATGAAGAGAGGGGATCATACTGATCAAACACACCTAGGCAAACCTAGTCGGTATGGAAAAAGGATGGATATGAGATTATACGATGTAAAGGGTCAACAAAAGAAACTCAGTACGGACAATCTGCAAAAACCCTCATGAAAGGTACAATTTTCTCCCCAAAGGGATAGCACACGTCGAAAAAACAGCTTAACACTCGAGTATCGGGACCCATAAACTTTCAATTCATTCAGCTGCATATTCATTGCAGTAACAAAATGAAAAAATGAAAGCATAGTGCGATAAAGCAGTGAATAGAAATTACAGTCCGAAGGTAAGCATTACTCGACACATCTGGTGAAATCCCCCATTCAGGTCCTGCAACGCAACTTAAAACTTAGTCAGAACGGTGACCACAGCAGTCATAAATCCATGAAGAGTTTGTTGCAGACCCCTTCTAGCGTGTTCGAACATCGGAGAACTGATCTTTCTGCCAGTCGTTTGTTAATGATCAAACGAATTTAATCCAACTCCGACTAACCTACTTTGCATTTTAATAAGGGTGAAACCAACAAACATGAAATGAGAAGTTTCAGTTTCAGTTTGTACAACCATTAACCATGCATTATCGTGCGCCGGTTTTGGTTGCTGTCTTTTGGCTGTCTATTTGGATGAACGACAGGAGGAGGAAGACAGGAAAGGTTGAATGCAGAATCGAGGATTTCAGTGGGATATATACCATTGAACATTACGTCCAAGAATGAAAAGATAACACCAACCATCCGCGGAAAAACTAGAACTATATGCGAACAATTATAAGACCGAGTACGGCACCCGCTGATGACGCAGTGATGCTCGAACTACATTAACCAGGTTACTAGTTCTTTTCAAACAAATACAACACTGTTCATCAACCTTTTGTTTTTGGTTGTTTTTATTGCCAACACAGACAGTAAACACATGACCAAGTTACAAAGTATGAGAAAAAAATCATACGCAGTGAGACCCAGAGGTTGCTCAGATGTCGCCTTAAATGACAGTCAGTCAGTTAGTTGACCTGACAGCAACGTACAGAGACACAGTTCATCCTCTGGTAACACCACGAACTGGTAATTTTGGTTATCTCCGGTATAATCCGGTTGGCACAGAGACAACATACGAGCTTTCCATGCGATGGGTCCGGAATTTAAAGCCCGGTCAGGATGATGGATACGCACTACTGATGGACTATGAGTAGAGCAAAACTCCGGTCTAGTGCTTCCCAAGTGTATGTTTTACCGAATGAAATGAGTATTGTACGTCTGGAGGATAGTCGGTTCGAATCAATATCACTTATTCTACTCCCCTACTCACGAATATTTGAGTTAAGTGTGTATTACAATTATATTGTACATGATATTTCACTGGTATCTGAGTTTATGCTGTATCATTAAAATCAGGGTACAATTCTGACCCGCAAGGCAACGTGGGATTGCAAGAAAAAGAGAGTCCTTTGTTCACCGGTCACCAGTTCATTGAATGGGATCCAAGGTCCAGGGTGCTCAAAATACTCGGATGCCCAATCAAGCCGATGACAACAGCCCCAGCCGAGGAGTGAATATGGCTCGTTCAAGGATTTTAGCCGACTCCCTCGGATGAACTTCCGGTTGTTCACTAATCTGGTTATAACTCAAGATGTGGGCCTTCCGACTTTTCGTATCGAAAGGTAAACAACTCCGCCACGTGAATGCGATCAGTGCGATTTAATCAACTGAGGCCATTTGGGACGCTTGGTCGCATAGGAGCATTCCACCAGGTGCAAGGAAGGGAAATTATAACGAGAGAAATCCATCCCTGATGTTGTTGGGACTTTCGATGGTACATCAGCTTGACTAGACAACGAGGTGTATCTGGCACCTGAGATCTTCCACCCTTTCTAAAACGACGTATGCTCCCATGAACTGGACTGCCTCGCTACCTTGCGGGTTAGATGAGGGCTAACCGAAGGCCCCGGTTAGGAATTTCCCNATTCACTTGCTTTGGCATGGATAACATGGCAGTAGTCCACCCACGATCAAATTGTGGACAGATTTATTTATTAAAACGGTTGTTGTCTGGAATTTGTTTCAAACATTGTGTACTTAGGTACACGTGTCATAAAATAATAACAATATTAATATAAATAATAATAATAATTCGTTGAAAAATGAACTAAAGCAAAAGACTAAGTTAGCTCTTTATGTAGGTACTGTTACGAGGTGACCATGAAAGTGATCAGTTCTTCTCAGCACTTTTATGGATAATGCACACAAACACGCGGTTTCAACATCCCCAAAAGCATCTTATATATTACTCCAATAACGGATGAACAACACGACAATTAGACTACCTTCTCAACCATTCACCATGGACTTCTTCAGCTGAGGACTGTCGATCCTATCGACGGACTGAATGCGGGAAAAAGGTCGATCTGATTACGTGCTATTTCCTCTACCAAGTAACAAAACTGCTACCTCCTCAAAACGCTTAAATTTGCTTCCATTGGAGATCAGTTATGTATGTAAGGAATTGATGGGCACGATAAATGAATAATGGTCAAAAGAATTCCCGGACACGCAAGAAAGCAAAGCGAACTCGAATGAAGCGCAGTGGATCAGGTTGATGTCTTCGGTACAACAAGCTGCTCTACACAAACTAGACACTGGGGCACGTCACCTGTAGGAGTGGATATCCGATCGCATCATTCAGTTAGCCAATACGACCGGAGAGGTAAGCCTAGCTTATCGCGATATCAAACGACAAGTAGTATGAACTTCGAGAGACGACAGATGGAATGAAATAGTGACAGAAATGGAGACAGCAGTCAATTCGGACAGTAAAGTGACACTCTTCGGACTCATGATCAGCATCGGGCAAGCAAGTACGCTGGTGGCCAAATCAACTTAAGGAAGAAAATGAGTTTCCTCCGCAGCAATTCGTCCTGTTTGACTTTGCGGCTGTGAAACTTGGCTACTGAGAGTTCAAGGCTGTCGATCATTACAAGTCTTCGATTACTGGTGCCTAAGAATGACTGTAGGAGTCAGCTTCCAAATGAAGTCGTTAGGGACCAGTTTTTTAACCCCATACGGCTATGCGAGCTCATACATCGGTGACGACTGCAATGGTTAGGACACGTACTAAGCAAACCAAACGACGACCTAACCAAAACCGCCTTAGCACCATTTCCATGTCCAAACTGGCGCTGTTGATGCAGAGGATAACTGAAACTTTAGTTAGCTACCGTAAGCAAGGATGTAGAACACCTTAGTCTCCACTTTGTATACGGCGATCACCAACGGAAGTCTAACTGGATCAAAAATGGGTTAGTTGCATGTGGATCGATGAAGGAAAGTTTGAGCTAACAATAAAGACATTCTGAAAACCGATAGGCACACAAACGGAATGAATGTACTACAAGTGAAAAGTGTTAGGACGGACCCTAAGCAACCCGTCCGATCGCGCACGCCTCCGAGTCAAGCCACACGCACGCTCGCAACGATCCAGACAGGCTGAACCTGACTGGATGATCACAGAACGTGTCAGCCAATGTTTGTCCAATAGATCAATCAATATGTCAAGGACACTATCTGATTGGTGCGTCACTGCGCCGTCCTCGTATGCACGATTAGTTCTATGCTTTTTGACATGTCGATAACTTATCGAAGAATACACGCTGACTGTGTCTAAACCTGTGTACTCTCTCCGCGTTGTCGTTGGGGGTTAAGCAAGAGTCGCTCGTGTCATTCNGTGTCAAAAAATACGTAAAACACAATAGTATGATACAGCAGTTAAAAGGATGTGAAAAGGGACAGCAACATCCAAAATCAGTGGCACACCTGGGTGTTCATGAGGGATTTAGTGTAGTGTTTGACGCAGATTTCTTGTAACGAGGTCTTGGTTTGTTAGAAATCTGGCGAGATAAGGAACAACAGACCGCCTGTAAGCTTCAGTGCAAGTCTTTATGAGTTTGTGAGTGGAACGGGTGGATGAGTGAGAAAGGCAGTCGCTAAGAGAGAAACAAAGAGGATGGGAGANGATAAAATCTTATTAGAGAATGTTTTACAGGACTTGAAGTGATGTGTCACCACAAACTCTACTAGATTTTCCCGTGGTATGAGACTACAAAAGGAGAGAAATCTGAGGGATCGGGAAATGAGTTTGAGGTCCTTGTTCAAAAGACCAGGGAAGATAACAGGGGACCCATAAAGCCAATGAGGCAAAACGCACGCAAAAACAAAATGCCTTATGAGATGGTTTGGAATGGAAAGGGATTTAAGGTGTAAAACGTAAAGGATACACGCTGACTGCGTCTCAACCTGCGCTCTCTCTCCGCGTTGTCGTTGGGACTTAAGCAAGAGTCGCTCGTGTCATTCGTACGCCTAGACCAAAGACAACAAAAAGTATCCCGGGGTCTGTCACAATGCGCGGATCTACCTGTTTTGATGAGAAGCTTTTCATCGACGGAATTCGAAGTACCTAATGCTGTTGGATGAGTAATGGAAGCAGCTGCTAAGACAGAGCCAACTTTTATCTTCTGGGATGACATTGCTGAAACTCGAGTTTATCGCTTCACATTGTGTTCCGTACTCTTGCAAACAATGCATCACTCACTCAAAGAGCACCTTTCAATGGCAGTCATGCATTGGGACCGTAGCTGTTGACCATTCATACGCTGTGATGTGAGAAAAGTATATTTACTTTTTAAGGGGGAAGAGGTAGCAAAGTCGTTCCTCCGCAGACGCCGAAATATCCTTTGTTGTAATTCTCCACTCGTCACCAAAAACACCGGCTACTACCTGAAAGTCAGTGAAATTACCGAATATGAATGCAGATCAACTGGATAGCGTTCGCGATCATCTGACTTCATCTTTTCGTTTTGGATATTGTGAATATGGAGCAATGCGGTTAGATGAATACGTTCATGGATAGGGGATTTGTACATTGTGTGACCATCAGTGC